ATAACAGAGTAAAGATCACATTTGTGTTATACAGACATTTCACTGGCATATTATAACAGACAATAGAACACAGTAAACTATTAAATCTGTCACACTGTAGACTGTGGGGCACTGTAGACTAAAACACCACCTTACAAGGCTGGCCACACATGTGCTGTTAGAATGCCCTACGCTAATGCACATATGGAATAGACTTCTGGGAATATATATTCTTACGGAAAAGGCAATAAAACTCCGTAAAATAGGTTCTATACTACCTTTTATTAAAGCAACAGGGCTTAGAGACCTACTCTAAACCCAGAAAGTGGCACAATAGACGGTCGCAGTCCAAATCCCCTAACAATAATAATAATAATAGCGTCTTAACATAAACGATTTATTAAATGAAAATTCTTAAAACTATGCAAAAATTATTAATAATCACAATTATTTGCAGATCAAATTTAGAGATAATAAAAAAATAAACAAATTATTTATTTTTATATTACATTACTGAAAATAATACGACATGCATATAAAAACGGTTTGTGGGTTATGAAAAAGTAATAATGAGTATTTAAATGCAATAAGTTTTGTAGGATTATGATAAACTATTTATACCGATTAAGACTTATATACACAAGCAAACCTCAAAGATGAAACAAGGATGAGATGAAACAGATAAAAAAAAGGAGCCAGATAAGCGACTGAAAACCTGAAACAAGCCCGGATTAGGGCAACATATAGTGAAGGAGTGTAAACAAATAGACAATTTGATTCCACGTAACTTGAAGATAACTGACTTACAAAAACGATCGAAAATAAATATAGATTGAAATATATATCAAAATAAGATTATTAGATTAATGTCGCTATTAGAAATTATAAGATTTGCATTCTCACTATCCGAGAAATTTTTTAATTTAACTTAATAACTGATTAATATTATATACACTAATTAATTTTATTAACTAATCTACGAGCAGAGTTATAACCTTCAAACATGTATTAACAAAAATATTTTATCATCAAATAAGATAAGTGATCCTTCTATTCGCGAAAGTGTCTGTGCTGAAAAATTAATTGGACTCTATTAATATAAAAATATAATATATAATAATAAAAATAATAATAAATAATAAAAATATTTTCAAGGGTTGTCTAGTATTGTAATTCCTTTAAGTCTAGCTCGCAATATTTACCCTCAGTAAATATTGAATACAATATTTACTTATATCATTTATTTACTTAGTACCTAATTAAAATGAAATACTTATTTACTGCCTTATTACATCCATAATCGATCTAAATCATATTCCATTTGGCAATGTTCTTATGATATCATATGACATATATCCATTAACATCAATTTTTTAATCAGTTAGACGCCATGTTTTTCTGGAGGGCCATCCAACACAACTCGTGTTAAGGTAATTTTTTTTCAGGTCCTCTACGCGTATAGCCAATCTAAACCACCTATAATTTCGAGTTATATATGTTGCTTGCGTTTTGTTTGACCAGATACCAAAACTTCATTGTTACATCAAAAAATAAAATTAATTTACAAAATTAATTTAAATGCTTCTAAAGTCAAAGGAAATTCAGAAAACTCACCGAAAAGAAACACTGCAAGACGTCACTATTTTTGCATAGTGAATGCAACAGAAGATGAGAATCCAATAGGAGTTTATTTAAATCAATATTTAATACATTTAATATATATATAATATATATGTTTCAAACAATTAATTACTTCACAGTTAATATAAATTTTAATTTATATTAAACATACTGCATACATACATACACTATAAAACGAGTTAACATAATCAGCAATTAACATTATTAATTAACATTAACATTATCTATTCTGCAAACCAATTATGTTCACTGTTACTGTTGCCTCAGAAAAAGACAAACTTAACAGAATTGTATACGTTATTCATAAAATGAAAACACCATCATTTTCATAATATATATGAATATAAGTTTATATATATGTATATATAAATTGTTTGAAAATATGCTAAAAATTATTTATTAAAATAAAACACATACTTAAAACTGTTTTCAAATATACATATAAGTAAATTTATAATATTTGTGCATATTACATATTATATATTACATGTCACATATATAATATCTAATTGCATTTATTATAATATATTATTATGTTTATATATAATATAATATTAGTATAATTAATATAATATAATTATATATTATTAATTAATATAACATAATTAATATATTTATTTTAATATATTTTTTAATAAATAAACCAGTTAGCTTAAAACATTTTCGATGTTTTGAAACGAAAGAATGAATCAAAAGTATGTGTTTATAGAATAGTTTATAGGAAAATATACATATGAAAGATGTCATTTTACAGTAGTTTTAATTCAATAAGATGTAATTATACGTTCTAATATTATTCGTTATAAATACATAAAGAATTCCCTGGTTTGGAAGTTTGAAAGATCACGGTTAAAAGAAAACATGCAATTAATAACTCAAAAGTGACTAGGTCAAACATATTGAATATCCGTTAAATATTCTATAAGAAGTTACAGAATATTGCGTTTTACATTTGTAAAACTGGATACAGCATGCTGGTTCCACTTACCTTTAGTACTTACTATAACTGTAATAGTTCTCAATATGTTTAAAAAATATTTAAAATTAAAATTATATTTATTTTCATAAATCAAATAGTTTCTTATTAATTTGCTGTATGTCTCTCTATATTAGCCGTTTCTTACCGCTCAATCTTTTATATATATATTTGTTCCTTTTTTTATCTCCAATTTACAAACAGTTCAATCGCATATTTTACAACTGTATTTAGTGGCAATGCTTATTTACTTAATAATACTAATGTTCATTATTATATTCTATTATTTAAACAATACAATGCAACTATTTTCGACAAACGATTGTTTATATATATGAAATATATAAATATGTTGCTAAAACACCTCTTAATATTTTTATCGTCTCCCCAACTTTATATTTGAAAGAACATTATATTATTTCCAAATACTTTTTCCAATCACAATTTATTATCAGTTTTAAACCTATTAACTTTTCTAAATATGTCTTTAAAAATTTATATATGTAAAACAATTCTAATAATTTTTCCTTATATTAATAAGTATTTTACAATTTTTGTATACTTCTTAGATTCATATTTATAACATTAAATATTTTTAAAGGACTTTTCTTTTAATTTAGTCAGCTATAATTTTATAGCTATTGAACCGCACTCCCTGTTAATCTAACGTACATAATATCTCATTTTATTTTTATAAAATTACTAGTTATTATTAATTTGTTCAAATTTTTAGATTTTAATTAGACATCCTTATTTAATTTTAATACATTCTCTGCAATTTGTAAGTTTAATTAAATATTTAATTACTACAAAATGTTTCGACTGTATGCGTTTCTTCACAGCATTATTTTATATACACGAATACACATGTGAAAAATATTAATATTTATTATAAAAATAAATTCTTATATTTTATTTTTAAATGTCGCTTTAGTATAAAAATATGTCATTTACAATTAAATATATCACTGCCAAATTTATTTTGAACTAACCGAATTATCTTTGTCACCATATCTTAAATAATCTTCTCTAATTTCGTCACGAAAAACATCCCATCTGTCCGTAGTGTAGTCGATAAATTCATTAATTTCCAGAATTTTATGTCCATGTCTTTCTTCCTCCTTTCTGTAAATTTTAAAACACATTACATTCTCTATATGTATACATATATGTATATTTACAAATATATATAGCAGAGTAAGGTAAATACAATTATTACTAACAATTTCAGCTCTTCAATTAGTTTTTCAACATATTCCCTACTTCGAGTTATTAAACGATCTTCACGTTCGTCAATCCGTCCAGTATGTACGTCTTTCATACCTGCTAATAAATTATCAAGAGCATCGCGATCTTCCATACAGTGTTTTAGTTCTGGTAAAACATTTTCATACTCTTCTGTTCCTATCGTATTTATTAAATACTCAGAGACCTCGTCTTGCAAATTATTCACAAAAGTATGCACCACATCCCGAAGTTGAGAAAAATATGATTGCACATACTCCACAAATTTTGATATTAAGTCATATAAATTTCGTCCAAATAATGTAATTGTGTCCTTAAACAATTTATAAAAATTAAAAAATCTAAAAATAAATGTGTTTCGTACTTCAATAGATTCATGTAAATGTAGTTCAACTGTCATCAGAATTATCCATACTTCATCAGTTTTTTCTTTAAATTTTTCCATAATCTCATCAATACGAAGAATTATAGTTGCAAATTCTAAAGATTCTTCGTCTCCACCATCCAATAAAAATTTCTCCAATTTTCTTAGAATTGGAGCGCTTTTTTCTATTGACTTATCTGTATATGCTATATATTCCTCAATTTCAAATTGACATGTCTCTTGAAAACCTTTGTTACATTCATCAACGCATTCAGCAAATTCCTCCTCCTCTAAACAACGCTCGTGATATTTCTCCAAACCATGTTTATATATTTCCTGCGTTAATTCAAACATCTTCTCGTCATATTCTGTAACTATTTCATCTGCAGCATCACCAATGCTTAAAAGTATACGACCATCTTCATCATTTTCCCATAGTGAACGGAAAAGTTGATGACCATTTAAGTGTTCTACAAAAGCTCCCATCAACTTCTCAGCATCAGATATTTCCTTCTCAGCTTCGTAACGTTGTTTCACTTCATCCTCTTGTTCTGCTTCAATCGCACGCAGTCGATAACTTAAAACAAATATTAGATATTAATAAAATCTTACTTACTTACTTATCTTTTACATTACTTACATATATTTTTCAAGCCCCAACTGTCGATCTTTGATAGTTATGTATTGGAAATCATAATATTCTAAGTTCGGTAGTATTGTGATCGTATAGTATTTCAAATCAATATCCGAATTACTAGCTATAGGATTGCCTTCCAAACTTATTGCTTTGAAATTTTTAGAGAAACGTAAACGATCTAACTGTAAATTTAGTACATTTTTAGATCTCGGAAATTTATTTACAATAAAATATTAGTTTATTTACCCCATCTATTGTTTTAATCTTATTGTAGCTTAGGCTAAGTATTTTCAACTCAACCAAATTATCTAAATTTTCTATTTTTGGGATTAAATTATGTGCTAGTAGAAGTCTCTTTAAGTTAACTAACGTATCTAAGTTTTCAATTCTCTCTATTTTGTTAAAACTTAGATCTAGTTCCTTCAGTGATGTTACTTTTTCTAAGCATTCTATATTTTCAATATTATTGCCAGACAATACAAGTGTAGTAAGATTAGGCAATATCTCAAATTGTCGAATCCGTAAGATATCTGAGAATGTTTATTTAACGATTTATAACTAATATCTTATAATACAATATATTAAATAAATGAATGCTTACTTTTAAATTCCAAGCGCAATGTTTGAATATCCTCAAACCTGATTTCTTCCAAATTATGCAGACGTTGCTTTTCACCAACAAATACATTTAAATATGCATCCAGAATAACTTTCTGGTTTATAACTAATGGCTCATATTGTGGAAATATAACAACATCTACGGGATCCTTTTTTTGGGCTAACTATAATATATATATATACATATTTCTATAGTATCTGAAAAATTTGTGTAAATAGAACTTACCATTTTTATTGGTGGTTTGTTTAACTGAAAAAAGTTCAATAATTTTCTATTCCTCTATATAAATATATATTGTCATTGTCTTGTACATTAGATCAACTTAAGAAGTATAATTAAATCAAAATCAAAAGATAAAGGAACACAAAAATGTAATATTGATTAACAATAATGTTTTTATATTTTGAAAATTAGTGTACAATATAAAAAAAAATTATTAAAATCACGGCTTACTTTAATTTTTAAATTTTAGTATCGTTCAAAGTGCAGATAAATTCACAGGTCACTATTGTATGCTTGTAGGCTATAAAAAGTATTTTATTCTTAACGATAACTATACTCTGGTCTATACTGAAACACATTATTGTCACAACATTCTATTAAAAATAATATATATGTACGTATTTTCCTGAAAATACTTATGATGACTTCTAATCAAAATGAAATAAGAAAAGATAAAACCCAAATATAACATCGTTTAACGAACTTTGACATTATGCACCAGAAAGATGACTGTAGCAATTCTACATTTATAGCCTAAATTACTGGCACAAATAATATGTCCTAAAATGTTTAAAGTAGTGCTAACCTCCGCAACGCATGCAACATTGTTTCTGTTCACAAAGTATTAAGTATTGCTCTGTTTAACAATTGATACTTAATTTCTACCATTTCAGAAAGCTTTTTGCTAATATAGAACTTTTGATTTCTATTAAAACAGAAAGGTTTTTAGTAATATAGAACTTTTGACAATATGACCGGTTTTCACTGATCACTTTGAGCTAACTCTAATCATTTCTCTCGTATTCAATTTATTTGCCCTTGAGTGTACTTATCTTGTGTATATAACAATGCTCAGTGTATATCCTACCAAGCTAGTTTAAGCGAACTCATTCATTCCTTTATGTTCAAGTGACCTTGTTGGAATCTTGTTGTTGCGAGTTATAGAATACGGCACAGTAATTACTAGCATATCTTCATAACACCATATGACTCGAGGAATATTTCCAGATAAATAGTTTCTTAATTGAAAGTTCACCGAATTTAGTTCTATTACAGGGAATACCTACATATAATATATTACGTAAGCAGTATACTTAGAAAAATGTAGTTATAGAATTCTAAAGTATTATCTAAAACACATCTATCATACCATCATATTAAACTAGTAATCCGCTTTTGTTTTACGATATGACCTATTATTTAGTATATTATACTGTACAAAGGTCGCTTCTCGACCTTATGGCTAAGATCAAAGTGTAGTATCTGTTCTTATAAGCTTAACATCTGATAGATCCTCCATCGGAGGACAACAAATGTTATACTGTACAAAGATCTCAAATTTTTATTTAAATGTTACTTCAAGTATGTTATACCAATACAGATTTGTAATAGATATTTCTGGCTTGTTCCTTTATATTTTTTGTGTAAAGGTTTTCATCTATGTTTATATATTTTGAATTATGGGTGCAGTAAGTTAGCGCTAAGATATATGCTTTTTTTACTACATGTAAGTAATTTAGGCATAAACTATTACCCGTT